ACGCGCTCTCGCCCACGCACGCGCCTACGCCCCGGCCCGTGCTCACCGCTGCTCACCCCGCCGCCCCGTCCTCACCTCCACCCCCGCGTCCTCACAACTTCTCTCGCCTCCTCCTCCTCAGTCCTCACTTCTACCCCGTCCTCGCCACCACTCTCGCCCCCGCTCGCGCCTACGCCCCGGTCCGTCCTCACCGCCGCCCCGTCCTCACCGCCGCTCTGGCCTACGCTCCCATCCTCACCCCCGTCCCGTCCTCGCCAGCACTTCCGACTACATCCCCGCCGCCGTTCTCACCCCGCTCTCGCCTCCTCCCACCTCCTCGTCCACCACTTCCAACTTTATAGCCGCCCCGTCCTCATCCCAGACCGAGTCCCATCATCCCCGAGCGCAAACCTTGATCCTGTCCTCATTTCCACCCACATCATCCTCCCGCCCTGACCTCACCCCCGTGTCAGACCTTGTCCCTGCAGTCACCATCGCCCCATCCTCACATCTGCCCCGTTATCCCGTCCCGTCCTCAAACATGCTCCAGCCTCGAACAAGCCCCATTTATATTCCCGTCTCCCGTCCTCTCACCACCTCAACCTTGCCCTGTCCTCAACCCGGCCCCATCCTTATTCTCTACCGTCCTCATCCCCGCCCCGCACTCGTCCCATATCCATCCTCGAGATACGACATCAACAACAAAACTTGACGTTTCGAAACATCGATGCTGAAATTTCAAAAATCGATGTTGAAAATATCGGTCCAAAAGCATCAATGTTTTAAACATACATGTCTGTAAAAGTATTTTAGCAACCTCTGACATCAGTGATGATATGCATAGGCGGGGAAGTGCATGTCATGATGATCGATTTTATTAATTTATAATTGAGATTTAGATTATAAAACGAAGTCAAGAAATGCAGAACAATTTACGAACATTTATTATTTTATTACATAACATAAAATTAAACACTACATTTACTAACAAAAAGTCGATCAACATATTTTTCACTCTCGGTGACAGTGTGAAGAATGTTCAATTATGTATATGTAAAAATTATTATTTATTATTATTATTATTATTATTATTATTATTATATTTTTATTAAAAAATAAAATATCAAGTAAACACATCGAACTCAAAAAATCGATGTTAAGAAATACTGGATTTAATAAATCGATGTTAAATGCATCGATGTTTACATAAAAATATTGATGTTTCGAAAACATCGGCACCCACGACGCATTCCTCCCCCATCCCCGTCCTCATCCCTGCCCTCCCCCATCGCCCTTCGCCCTCGCCCACTGCACCGCTCCCCGCCCTCGAACCGCACGCCCGGGCTCTTACGGGGGCCGGGCGGCGTGCCCGGAAAGCTGATGAGAGGCTCGAGCCCCCAATTTCGGAATGAGCCCCGCACACAATCCAACGCAGCAACGTTGAAATTAAGGGATATCCCCCTCGTAAAAATGTCGCAGAGAGCTCGTTTCTAATAGAATTCACTTTGCGGATTTGGTATGTGACGGTCGCTGTAAGTGAACTAAGTTACTCACCAGAATATTATTGGAAGACTAGTGGAAAACTTGTAGTACCAAAGGCTTCTTATCGATGGTGCAGCGTATTAAAAATATTTTTAAAAAAACAAATCTGTCTACGCGGTGCAAATAGGCGACTAGTTCTTGGTGATGATGTATCTGATTTTCTTTATTACCACCTATCGTTTGATTCGACTAATATTCTTTTGTGATGTGTCCTTACATTCGTCTTGTCAGCGTGAATGCCTCCGTATAAAATACTTAGAAATCCTATCTGGCGGATTCTAGGCCCCATTTTCGTTACTTTTTGTCTAAATTGTTTGACATATTTCCTTATGTGAAGTAGGCTATACTATATCAATTATGTACATCCGGCATGTCATACGCTAAACGAAGTTACCAAAAGTAATATAACAAACAGCAAGCTCCATTTTGTTGATTTGTTGTACGTAGATAAACATTACATTTTCTAACCCTTGAGATGTGGAGCATAGACGGATACTGCTCCACATACAAGGTTGTGCCTTGGCAGAAATCCGCCTTTGCAGCACTGCTGAAGTCTTTTTACTTCATGAGGGACCGTCATATGGGAAAGAAAAATCAGCCCATCAGCACAGCCTAAGGCAGTGAGTAGAGTGGCCCATAGATTTCATGGCCATCTAGACAACCTTTGAATGTCCTCTCCCCCACTTTTCCAGTCTATAGAATTTTTAACATTACAATTTTTTATTTGAGTTTTAAAAAATCTAATAAAGGATATAAAACGTGCCTGAAATATTGCTTATGATAAAACGAATCTAGAAGAAGGAAAATAGCTTATTGTGCGAGAATAATAGTGGAATACGATTTTGCATCACAGTAATAGAGTTAGCGTCCTCCTACACTGCCGTCACATTTGAGATAAAATTCCATGCAGCATTATCACATGGTTGATTAGCGTTCGAAAGAAGTCTCTTAATAACTAATAATAGTCTAATAATTCTGGCAGAGTAGCGTTTTCCGCTGTCCGACGATATTTGTGTAAAAGTCGGGGCTGTATTAAAAATCTACATGAAAAAGGAAGTTAATACCAGTCAGTATTTTTGTTATTGGTGGCGATATGTTTTGCTAGCTCATGAGGAATCCCATCCTACTTTTGAGTATGGCCTCCAATCCCTTTTGAAAACAGCTCTCTCTACGAATGATTACAGAAGGCCGAAGGAGGAGGAATACAATTTCGATTTCACTGATGCCACTTCAAGATTCGAAAGAAAGTTCACAATAACACTTCGAAGAGATTATGGAGATAATTTTTTATTGTTTACATGCCCTTTGCACCCGTATTTCAGCTAGAATGTTTCTTTGGATGCTTATTTCAGTCAAAATATGTCTTTGCATGCCTATTTTAGTATTTTTTTAAAAAAAAGCAGGTAAAATTTAGGTAAAATAATTGCATTTTTGCACCCATACTTTTGCTCGAATAAATGCCTTTTTGCATGCGTATTTTTGTAACAATTAATACCGTTTGCTTACCTACTTCAGTAAAAGTAAATGCCAGTTTACAAACGTATTTTAGTAAAAATAAAAGCCATTTTCAGTGGCTATTTTAGGTGAAATAATTGCCTTTTGTACGCCCACTTTCGTCGAATAAATGCCCTTTCGCATGCATATTTTAGTAAAGCCTATTTCAGGTAAAAAGAAAGCCTGAACTCCCCGACTCAACGTTTGAGCTTACCGGCGCCAGCGCGTGGCGTGCGGGAGGCGTGCGCGTGCCTAGCACCATGTGGCGGTGGCGCGTGCTGGACACGCCCCGTCCCTTCGCCCTCCGCCCTTCAGGGGAGGGAGCAGAGATGGCTATCTAGGTGCCTCGTGGGACAGATGCGGCCACGCGGGCGGCACCTCAGCAACGTGTTGCAGCCTACGAGTGTGTATATGTGGGCGTGTATGAGGACGGACGCTGTGTGAGGGCGCTGTATGAGGACGCTGTGTGAGGACGCTGTGTGAGGACGCTGTATGAGGACGCTGTGTGAGGACGCTGTGTGAGGACGCTGTGTGAGGACGCTGTGTGAGGACGGTATATGAGAACGGTATATGAGGACGTGAATGAGGACGGTGTATATGAGCTTGAATTTGGGCACCTATGTAAGTATGAATGTGTGTAAGTGTAATACTTACGTTTCTCCTTTATAAGATAATATTCAATATTTGGCAACCAATTTGATTGCCACCCCGCACGTATACATACACATACGAATGTGAGCCAACATTAACACGCAGAAACATAGAATTGCATTCGGGCTCTCGAGATGCCTTTACGGGATGTTTGGGCCATGTGAGTGTTTTAGCGTAACCATGCACGTATGCAAGTAGTGCAAAAGTGTGGAGGACCCCCCCCCCCGAGTTCAATAATTACCATTCCTGGTTAAAATTCTAATACTGTTGTGCGATTATATTTGTTTTCATCGTACGTGCGTCCTGCGGGTTTAAAATTATTAATACTTCTGTTACGGTGAAAGCAGAAATGGACATTTCAAAACAAGCGTTATGCATGTTTAAAGCAGAACAAAGCAAATAGTGATATTTGATCTTTTCAATGCAGTTTTTTATTCATTCCATGAATGGTGACGATGAAACAATGAAATAACGCATTCGAATGAAGCCCTTTTAATACATTCAGTACGGAACCATTTGTAACAAAAGGGTTAATACTTTTTTTAAATATAAACACATCACGGTTGAATACCGTAATGTTGCTCGGCCTGCTCTCCATGACATGTTTAACGTAACAGAAAAAAAGGTGGAGCATTCTGAAGTTTATTCGCATTATATTCTTCTTAACTTTCCTTTACCTATGAACATATTCAATCCTCATTCTCACGTGCGCACTAGAAGCAAAGAAAATAATTTGAAGGACTCAAATGTTTCATTTGTGAAATGTTGAACTTGAAGCTTACTTTACGTAGAATATGGATATTTTCATTAATAATTAAATATTATAATAAGTAACTTAATGATATGCAGTATGATATGCAGATAATGGGATTCTGGTCTAGTAAACGAACTATTTTAGTTCGCAAACCTTTGGAAAGTATTATTTCATCAAAAGATCCTAGTACGTTTCATACCAACTTGTCTCAAAAAGGTTCTGTAGTAAGCCTTGAAGAAAGAAAAAACAACAACAAATTCTTAAACATAAAGGAATACGTGCTGTCTAAGCTATCCGGGACGAGCCGCGACACTGACATGGTGGCAAACGTTTTGGCCAGCGTATTGTGGCCTTCTTCAGAGCGTACTGCTGTGAAGCTGAAGCAACTGAAGAAGTAAATGACTAAACCAACACCTAAGGAACTAAGTAACTAAATCAGCCACTGAAGAAGTAAGTGAATGACCAAATCAGCCACTGAAGAAGTGAATGAGTAAATCAGCCACTGAAGTAGTAAATGACTAAATGAGCATGTGACGAAGTGAGCACCGCCTGCAGCGCCAGGGCATAGAAGAAAGAGTACCTTGAGCTTGTCGCTGGACTGCGCGGCGGGCGCGTCGCGTGCGGCGCCGGGGGGCAGCGGCGACGCGGGGCAGTACAGCTGCCCGTCCACCTGCTGCCGCCTGCAACACACAAACACACACACAAGTCACCTCTCGGTTTGTTTAGCTTACTTCAAATTATATGGGAAATCACTGGTTTCATTTTGTAGATATTAAAAATATACAGACACCGGATGTTTGTCAATTCTATCACAAGCATCGGGTGGATTTGTAACTAACGTTCGTTAATATATTAACCGCTCTTGCTTAACCTAATATGCATGTCGCAATGACGGAGTGCCTCTATCAGGGTGGTCCTAGGATTACAGTCCCAACGGTGGCAGGATTTTCGACACTAGCTGCAGAGCTAGGTCGAATTCAGCCGCGCCCTGAAAGAGTTCTATTGACCGGTTGCTCTAATCGGTAGTTTTCCAAACAAGAAAGCCTTGCAAGAAGTTGCGACGAAAGCATTTACAGGTGGGCCAACTGCAAACGAACGCATAACTAGTAATTTAACACATGCAACCCAGTAGTAGCTGTCAAAGCAGTCCTTTATTATAACAATGTCTCTGTACTAACTAGCAAGCTTCTCCCATCAATCACAGCGACACCACGAACGTCAACGTAGCGAGTCGCGCGGCCAGCTGCAATCACGCCGCGTCTACCGGACGAGCAGTTATCTCGGCAGGACCGTGACGACAAAGACTGACAGCTTCATTGCGCCGAAAGCGCGAACTCACGCCCGCAACCACAGCCGGCCACCACGCGACACGACACGCGCGCGCGACAAGGACACGAAGTCCCTCCGTGCGACTGCGTGTTATGGTGTCCCCGCGGCAGCGGGTCGGCGCAGCCAGGGAACGGGATTTCGGAACTCATCTCGGTCAACGGTGACCGCCTTCTCTCTGCTCTTACACTACGATTTAAATGCAGCTCGCGGGCTGGTAGGAGAGGGGGACACTAAATTCAAATCGGACTCTGAGCGAAGTGGTTCAGGGATTAGTGCATTGATTTCGCATTCGGAAGGCACGAGTTGAATCCCTGTGCTGGCCATCCTGACCGGGGTTTCCGTGGTTTGTCTAGGTTACCCAGCCGAATACTGGGATGGTTCTACTGAAAGGCTACGACGCGATACTGGCGTCGTTAACTACGTGAAGTCACGACGATTAACAATCGAGCGATCGCGCGGGCGGTGTTAATGCTGCCTTTGAAAATAAAACGGCGCTGCGCTTTGATGTTTGAACTCAGCATGGCGGGAAGTCTCCGAGGATTTTTCTCCAAATAAGTATTGAGACAAGATGGCGGTAACGACATCTTAAGGACCCCCTCAAATTTGCGTCAAATTCTCGCAAAAGTTGCCGTCATTATTATTTGCCTGTTCCAGTTCTTCTTCACGAGTGTGATGAATCTGTAAAATTATTTTTCATATATTTTTGTAATAAAATGTCATAATAAACCTCTTATGTTAATGTTTGTATTAATATAAAATAAATTGGATATTCATTAAGTGTAATTTGTTGGTGATTTCAGTGGAATTTAATAACCTATATTCCTAATACTTACTATTGTCGTTTTACTATAACATATTTAGCTACCTCCACATTGTCTCCCCTCCATTTTACCATTTTTATTTACATAGATATCAGGATGAAAGATTATCACTTTTCAATAATTTGGCAGACCCCTTCGATATTGAACTTGAATGGTACTCATACAGTGTGTTGAAAAGCAATTATTTAGTTACAGATATGACGTTAGTTGAAGACGAGAAAATTTTCCACCCTAGACCACAAGATTCTTCTGTGTGTGTGGAGGAGAAATCGAGAAACTCAAAGAGCAGTTGAGAACGGAAGAATCATGGGGTTCAAAGAAATTCTCTGACTGTTTTAAAATTCTAGTACTCCTATTTCAGAATAAGTCACGCATTTCGTTCATATGGGGAAAAGAAGTATGTTCTAATCGCAGACCACAGGGTTCCTGCCATGATGTCATGTCAGGAGAAAAGAAAAAGTAGGTCGCAGATCACAGAAATCGTAAAAAAGTCTTGGAAGTTTCCCTTATGTTCGTACATTTAAAAGGCAGTTAACGATTTCTATGTGTAAAATTCCTATACGTACACTTATGAGAAAATACGTCCATTATCTCAGTCAGATTGAAATTAAATTCTGCGGGTACGCTATAGGAATTCTTGGAGAACACATTTACTTCAATGCCAACGTTTTTCTTGTAATTTGTGACTTATGAGTTAGAAATGTACTTTAAGCAAAGCATTAATAAAAATAAATTAGTCTGTGTATTAATATAAAATTAAATGATTCTTTGTTGTGAACAAATGTTAAAATAGTAGACGAATTTGTATATGAATGTACAAAAAATAATAATTCCGTTCGGAATTCTACGCATTTTTTCGTAATTAATTTATTGAGCTTCTTTCCCCATTTAGAACTAATTTAATATTATTGTTTGTAATGAGTCATAACGTGTCATCTGGAGCCCCGAGGAAGGCTAATTAATTGTAGAAATGTTGGGCGGCAAATAATCTTCAGTCTCCTTGAGTTTAACTCAAAATTCACGTCCCGGTTGCAAAACAACTTCCAACGCCATTTTGTTCTACTATGATTTGTGGACAATGGCGGGATTGCGAGCATCCCCCATCCGAAGTCTGCTCTGAAAGGGATCCAGATGAATCGCCGGTGCGCTCGCCTGCAGCCTGAAGCGCCGGCGGCTGAGGCCGCCCGCACCGGCGCTCTCGGCTGCGGAAATGAGCTGCGACCGACAGCCCCGCGCGCAACGAGGCTATTCTGCGACTGCGGGGACCGCGGGCGGGGTTGG